GTTGTATTTTCACTTAATTATAGTACTTTAAAACACTTTTTTAACAAAAATTGGGGTTTTATTATAGATTATTAATATTAGGCGAGCAAAAAAGTTTGTAATATTAAAAATGAAGATGTTTCAGATAAATTTTTAAAGTAGAACCGAATAATTTGAGTTATAATTAGATAAATAACGATTTGTTTTTGTGTTTAATTAGAAATATATTAAAAATTAGAAAAAAGTTGTGAAAAATGGCTCCTAGTTAGATCTTGCGGAAATATCAATTTCAATTTTATTAAAGAATTTTGAAAAATTTTTTGTGTAGAAAACATCGCACTAGTTACATAATTTTGGATACTTTATTATTATTGAGTTTCCTTTTTGTACAATAAAATTATTCTGTTGTTTAAAATTGGAAAAAATTTTAAGAAATGCATTGCTCTGTATAAAGAATATGTAAACTAGTCTTAAGACTTTTTTTATGTCAATCAACTTTGAATAATTCATACTGCAGCAGAAAATTTATTTACACTTTGTAGATATATTTGCGTAGAATATGCGCATGTGTCATAATAAATTGTATTACGACTCTGCTCGAATGGAGTGGAATTTTATTTTATTAATCGGTAAAATTATATTGCGTACAAAAAAGGGAGCTAATATAATTAGCAGCTGCATGTGAACGCTATTTGCATTTTTCTTCTATTATTTAATATTGTACGTCAGAAGTTCTTTTGAGCACACACTTTGATCTTCACTCGTACTCATTGCTTCAATATTAAAATAAATCGTTTTATAATGATTTTACATTTATATTTTTAATCGATTATATAAAACTCGATATTTATTATACTTAAAATTGTGTGCATTTACTGCTAAATGTTCAGTGAAAATACATGTAGTCGTCGTTTCACGTATTCGCATACATACTCGTTTGCTTTAAAAATTTAAAATTTGAGATTGCAGCTGTGTTCTACATATTGACTGCTGAATTGTAAATTACATCCAGAAAAACATCGTGCGCGACCATCGAATTAATTATCGATTGATCAATACCTTTTCTGACGTCTTTTGCAGCTATGTTGACTGACCATTAAGAAATTAAAATGTATTTGCATATATAATACAATCACTCACACAATACGTGGAGGAAGGAAAGTAATTTAAAAATGATCGCAATATGATTGCAGTTTTGTTATGCATATGCTAAAGCGCTTATAAAATTTTTTGCGCATTATTTTTTTTCCTCACATTTAATATTTAATTTTTTTTTACTTTTTTAAATTTCCAAATATTTCAATTTTTCAATTCAATGTTTGAATATTGTTAAGAATTGGAACGATTTTCGTCTAGAGTTTCTTGTTCATAATGCAAAAGAAATAATAGTTATATTAAGATGTTTTATTAAGGCTTCTGTACGCTTATTACAGATTCGCATTAGCTGCTATAAAAATAACGATAGTTGAATCTAGTTATGTCGAGGTTTTCTTGGGATCATAATTTTTTTTTATATGTTGTCCATTCTCTTCTCTTCATTTTGATGAGCAAAAAGAGGAACGAGCCTGTTCAGCACGTAATACTGATTAGATTTTTATCGAATTAGACTTTTATCGAATTTCTATATTCTTCAAACTTTAGCTCTTTTATTATTAAGTTCCTGACCTCTAGAATTATAGATTTCTAAATCTTCCAATTATGAAATTTGAAGTTTCAAGTTTTTGAATTTTTAGCTTGCACACACGTATGTTTTTAAATTTCATATAACTTCTTTAAAGATAAATATTTTTGAACTATTTTTTAATTGGAATCGATAAGTATTCAATGTATCTTGAAAATTGCATGTCAATATTTACGAAACTCATGACGATGTTGTATTATCGTAAAATAAACTGCCCCTCAATTGTGGTAAGTGCCGTATTGCATTTCACGATATCTTCCTACCCATATTTCTTTCATTTCATGACGGAGCACGCAAGCGTCCTTTCGTGAAATTTATTTTTCCTCTGGAATTCGATATATATATCGTCAAATAATCCATACACTTAGTTGCAAAAGTTTATGTAAGAAAATGGGCAAACATTAATCCATAACATATTGGTACCCAGTGGTATATCTTTACTTATTATTATGTCATTGTAAACCCCATTTGGTGCAAGATTAATGATATGTAATATATAATATATATGTATTTACATAAAAAGATCAATTTAATGATATTTAATTTAAATAGAATTTTTGAATTATAATCTTAAATCAAAATAAAATATTAATATAATATATAAATAAAACATAAATTTATGTAATTTAGTTGATTTGTAAATAGATAAAAAAAATTAACAAAACTATTATGAAATTATAATTGAAAAATATAAGCATTTAAAAAATACTATGCAACGAACGACTCTGTTTAAATATAACTATCCAATTCTTTGTTCCATGTTAATATTATATTCGATAAATAAAATTTATAATTGTGTCTAATGTTAGATAGATATTAGATATTAGATACAAACGTAAATTTAAATTTGACACTATTTAATACGTAGCTTTTTATTTGCATCGACAATTTTACAACTTATTATTGGCATTATTGATTTACTACAGTATTGCTATCGCAACGCAAACGCTACGCAACGCAACGCTACGCAAACAGTAATATTAAAATTGATAATTTTTCTCATCTGTGATTATTTGAAGTTCTTGATTATTTGATTAATGATTGAAGTTAAAATGAACGATAACGGAGAGGCATAATACTTGTTTAAAGTCAATATATAATACAATATATATAGTTACTGCAGTTCGGATGTGAATGTAATGCCTCCATATCTAAAACTTTCATATTAAATTGCAAATACACACAAATAAATATAATAATATTTTAATACTTATCTAGTAGTTAAATACAAATTACTTTAACTGCGTTTGATTTACTGACTTAAGTAGCTAAGAATCTTACTCTGTACTAAATTCTACAAAATATTTGGCACACGTTTTATCAGCAGAGAAATGACAGCAGATTTACTTCATTTTTGCCATCAATCTATCATCAGATTGCATTCGGTAGATTTTTATTCGCTTTCTACCGCCGATCTGTCATGATTGTTATGTTTATATAAAATTTATAATCAATCGCAATATTCTAATTGAATTTTTTGTTAACTATTAACATTGCCGGCTCATACTGTTAATATTTTATTTATTAAAAAGATATTTTATATTAAAATTTTGAAAGATATAAAGAAAGATTGTATCTACTTAATAAAGTTTTCATTATAAATTATTTTATTTTGGCGTAAATTGAAAATTTGTTCTGAGTAGTGTATATGTATATACGATTTAAACTAATCAATGATTTTGGTTTCTTTTTAGGAAAGCTGAAGTGCTACTGCGACATTTGCACGAATGACAATTACACGTGCACAACTGATGGTTACTGTTTTGCTAGTACAAGCCTTGAAAACAACGTTGTCACGCATGCCAGAAGGTAAGATATTTGCACGTGGATTTCATTGATGATTATATGCAATTTACACTCGAGATCCTATTTTAGCAACTCGTCGGTTATTAATAGATTTGTTATCAATTGGATAACGTTTAATCAAAACCGGCAAGTTTTTAGTCTCCCATAAATTGTATTCATCTATCCATCATTAAACCTTTTTATTTGATTTACTTATTATATGATCATACTTATTTGATAATTTCCGGTGCGAGATTTTATTTAAGGCGTACAGATTATTAGATATTTGCAAAATAATCGAATAATAGCGCTAAATCGAGTCCGTGTCGACAGGAAGATTAGCATATTGCATTGACATTTTGTAATGAATTGGACTGTAGTCGTTCTGGCGTCTGGCCTGACGCTTATTAGTGATCGGTCAATGACATCAATATTAGTGCGGATTTTCTAAGCCTGCACTTGCAGCAAAACAAGATGCAGAATCGCTATTAACTTCGCTCGCGTTATCTACATAAGCTTATCGAACATACACACTTTGCAACGTTGTTTGCATAATCATATTGATTCAAACTTTGTTAAGTCGTCCATTGAGATAGTCAACTTCTTTTAAAAGTTTTTATCATTAAGCCGTTGATTTTAATTTTTTTATTTTTTGTTTACAATTATCTATTAATGCACTTGTGAGAAATATTTGCAATATTTTATTCTTAGAATTATCTTATTAATTTATATGGTTTTTTGTTTATACTTATAAAATATGCTCTAAGTTTTTAAAAATATTACACATCTTTTATACTTTTTTCTAACTTGTTGTTATAAGTTTTAGATTTGCAAACACATACAGTATATTAAAGAAAAGTAACATTTTATATTATAAAATGGTTTATAATTCAGTTTTTTGTTAAGTTGGGGATTGTAGATTCATAAAAGATATTTTCTTTCGTCTAATCGATCGAAGGCTATGCGTTAGATTAAACACGTATTTCGAAAACTTTATTTGACCTTATTTGATTCCATTACTTATAATTTCTTTACGTAATATTCATCATACGTGCTTCTTATGCGTATAAGTCACAGTTTAGGTCACTGTCCGCGAAAAAGCGTCGTGCAGCCTTCATATCTAATGCCTTCGGCAATTTTTGCTTCGACGTTCCGATCGATGCCCCCTGTAGTTTCCACGAATGAACGTTTAGGCGGTTTTCCAGCCCGCCCGGGTCATGATTAGCGCCCGTTTCGACGGAAACGAATTATTGTTGTCGGTCGGTCGTTGCGTTGGTAACGCTGCCGCGTGGCGAGATTTCAAGTTCGACCACCGTGAGCTACGAAAATTCTGGTCGCAATCGATCGCAGAGCGGACTCGAGGCGAAATTTGGAGGTACTTTCCCTTCCTCCGTCGTATCGATCTCGAATGCATCGAGGAAGTTTCTCGCGCGCGAGCGTGGGGGTAGCCACACACACACGTTTCAATTCAACTCTGGCAGATGAGGTGACGCTGTCGTGACTGGCGAGGAGGTCGTTTTTAAGACATCACGGTGTGGATAAGAAATGATGAGGACAAATTCCCATGATGCACTTGCAATAATTATTTTGCAGAAACTTTATAAGTTGTTTTTATTTTGAGCGCTTTATTTGGAATAATCATAAAGAGTATACGTTGCAAGTGCAATTGGATTATATTATTTCTGTCGAACGTTTAGCAATCGTCAGGTTTAACCGTCTTACATTTTGTTTTTCAACTATGTGCTCGTTTTTTAATTGGGCATTTACCAATGTTTATTCAAGAATGATACAGTGTATCGGAAAGAATTAGCTTGATATAACTTTATAAATTTTATTTGATCTTTAACTTTGCAAATGATGCATAAGCGCATTGAAATTTGTGGTAGCTTTGCAAAAACATACGGATGCTCGCAACGATTGGGAGGTCAAAAGTTGGATAGATAGCGCAATATATGCTTGCGGAGCGCACCGCGAACTCGACCTTCGACCCTACAAAGATCGGAATTTTCTTTATCATGGATAATATCCCGTGATGTATGTCGAAGGATGGAAGTTTAGTGTTAGACGATATATAATCCAAATTATATCCCGGAATTTCTTATTGTTAGTATATTTTCAAGGATATCGAAATCGAAATATTTTATAATTTTAATAGTAAATTGATATTATTTTACATTATTGCAATAACAGATTTATATATTTAAAATTTTTCGATTTTTATTTAAATATTTTGAGTCTGTATTGACACTAATTGCAGTAACTTGTAAATGTTTTCTTAATTGTGTGAAAAGGATAAGAAATTACTTGTCGATTAGTTTTATTTTAATTCAATGATTTTATAAATCGCTATGACATGCTGCAAGTGTTGTAGAGATTTATATACATAAAATAGTTTTATGAGAATCGCATTCTGATTTGGATATGCAAAGTTTGTAATTTAATATCTTTTATCTTACATCTTTTTATAATTTTACAGAACAAAATTTAAAATGTATTGCCAAAATAGTTGTGCATTAAGTTTCTTAAAATATGTAGCTTATAATTGACTTATATATCACTTAATGACTCGCAACATTCACGACGCTTTAAATAGTTTATTGCTCAGTCATTACGTTGCATTTGTAATTTCCTACTTTCTATTCTTATCTGCTTCTGATATGAACGAATCAGTAAACTTTAATTATACTGATATCAGTCTCGAAAAATTTTATATTGCTTCTGAACGTTATTGAATTTTATAACGTTGTTGAAGAAGTCTCAGAACGTAGTTAAATTTATCGGCTTATCTTTTAATAATTGTCAGTGTAACAGTTATAAGACACCTCGATTCGAGTACACTCTTAAAATCGAACAAGATCGACCGAGATAGTCCAGACCAGTACGACGATCTGAGGTTGCAGACGTGCGGACGGTCCCTAAATGTTTAATGCGCCAGACGGATAATTCGGATAATTCGACCGGAGATCGCATTGAAAATAGCGCGACCGAGATTACTTGATTCAGCCGTAGCGTAAAAGCAGCACAGGGTAATTTTATATGCGATCGCATGAATGCAAAATATATCGATGTGTCGCGTCGTAAGCGCGAATCTGCGTCGCACGTTGAGATTTTACGGAATATCAATCGAGCGAAAGTAGATCACAGTCGAAGGTGGTGTGACGCTTGTATTTCCTTGTTTTTATTTATTAAATAGAAAAATGTATTAGATAAAATAAAATATACCATTGGGTATTTTATATAATTACGCAATAATTACGCAAAATATATCGTGAAATCGTATATATCATATACATAATAAATATACACGTGTTACAATACAAAATTGAAGTTGTATTGCAGAATATTTTAGAATTTTGCACTTTATTTAATGTAACATAGAAATCATATTTTCTCTCGAAAGGAAAAGAGATAAAAAGAAACAAAATGTCTTTGTTTTAGTATTTTCCAAAGGAAGAGAACGCTTTTTAATTTTTAATTATAAATTAATTGAATAAGATCGTGCTAGAAATAATCAATATTATACGATAAGTTGTCTACGTAAAATTTGAAAATTGATCAAGCGAGAGAAAGAAAGAGATACGCGAGCATTTCAGATTAAACGTAGAATTATGATGTTGTGAAAGGTGTCTCAACCGAAGCAACTGGCTGCCGCCGGAAGCGCCCCATTTCTGCAACAGCAAGCCGGGCATCTATCGCTCGCGGATCTGCTGCGATAAAGACTTCTGCAACCTGAATTTATACCCAGTTTTGTTATCTCCCGACTCCGAATTGTCCTCAGGTATTTTTCCAAGAGCTCGCGACTACCGACGAGGTGGTCTTTCTGTCTCTAATACGTGTGTATAACATAAACGTCCAATATATAATGTACCATTATACACTAACACCACAGAAATCGAGTGAACAGCATGATTTTCGAAATAACAAAAATAGATGGCAAAAAGAGTAACGTCATTCTAGGCGGACGGAAAACTGCATAGTTACACTTATGCCGCATAAACAGCCCCCCTTGTTTATCGATAAAATTAGTCGAATATGCGTTTTATAGGATTAAACAATACTATGGCTGCGCGAAGCAATGTTTTGACTACAAATAATTTCAAAGGTTGCATTTAAAGTAGAAAATATTGCTGAAATTAAAAAATTAGGTGTTTCTGTCTTATATAAAACAATGTCATTAGAATTATCGATATATTTTTTTACTTCGTTATAGGATTATATCGCTGAAAAGAATATTTAAAAGTTAACAGAACAATCATTCTCAGTTTCTCAACTTAATAATTTATATTGATTATTTATTAAACTTTATGGATATCAAGCACAATAATTATTTGCTTCTTATATTTCCGGTGATAATTTTCTGAATAATTGTGGCGCGATTAGCTTGAGTGGATAATTTCATTAAATAATTTTTTTTATGAACGAAAAAGAATCAGATACTTATTTCAATCGTCCTAATCGTCCTAATCGTATTTTAATCGCCTTATTTGCATATTTATACATAAAATATGTTATATATGCGTGTTTATATGCACACTTGCGTCAATTGAATACATATATATTTTACGAAGCTAATTACGAAAATAAATATAACACATTTTTTAACGAGATCATTAACTGGATTCTTTACAGTCCAGTGTTGAATTTTGACTCTGCATTTGCCATTTCTAATCTGCGAAGTCTTTCTTAACATATTCGTTTGCATTTGTGTGATTTATATTCAATCGGAAATGAGCGTGCAAAAGTTTGAGTACAGTCAATTTCATTTATGAAATGTGCTAAAGAAATTACCAATTATAAAATATTGTGACTACTTTTAAAATTTTAAAGAACTATAAGATTCATAAGTTTAATAGATAATCAATATTTTATGTGCATTTTCTTAATTTTATTTACATCTTTTAAAGACGCTATCTTTTTTTCCGAGTAAATTACGTTTGCCTAATATGTGACGTACGTAAAAATTGGCCATTAATTCTCATCTCTTGTGTTGAGAAACTTGATAAACTCTGATCTTTATTGTAAGA